AGAAAAATGTTGGACAAGAAACATTGAGTTTTGTCTTCAAGTTGTATTTTCCAGGTTATTTCTGGCCAAGTTTCCCTTTAGAAAGTTGTTGTATACCTCCTGTTCCATAAACCTGAATATTACTTCTCATGTTTTTAGTTGTATTAACCTTAGTTTTGATCATTTCTCCCTGGAATATCCCCTTTAGGAGCTTACCCCTAATTGTCCAGTATGCAAGTATGCTGGAACAGTTGTTATTTTAAATCATCGAGGAGGGCAATAGGATATTTGATGAACTCTTGTTAAATCATGCCCAAATCATTGACGGTTACTAGAAGAAGGTCCCTCTTTTGAATTGTACGTGGGAATGAACTGAAGCTATGAGAAGATAGAAAGCATAAGGCTTTTAGTTTGTGTGACTAGTATTGGCAAGGAAAAAAAGCCATTGTATTATATACCCCTGAATAATTATTCGGACTTAGTAACAACCTACTCTGGAGGCTTGAGCCAAGAATTTCAGTAAAAAAAAAAAAATTTTTTTTAATAATCTTAAATCCGATCCCTTTCTCCCAGAGGAATAAGTTTTTGTTTGGTTTTTTTTGCACAATTATAGCTGACATACAATATATTAGTTTCATAGTGATTCAACATTTACATACCAGCAATAAATTCTTATATCAAGAAAGGGCTACTCCTGTTTACCAAAACCCAACAACAGCCACCTAGTGATAGGGGAGCCAAACCATCTCTGGGTAGAAATAGAGGGGTACTATACAGATGCAAGTCAGCAACACAGGCAGCCAGTGGTAGGAGCTGAATCCCTCACCATGTCCTTTATTGAACAGCTTCTCCTTATCTGTTGCTATCTCCATCCTGCCTGAGCTGAGCCTAAATTCGTTCATATCAAGTCGAGGCTAATTGAGTTGTGGGATGACCTTCTTCGGATGAGGAGCTGGAGATCTGGCAATGTGTCATGATGGGAAGAAGGGTTGTAAAATTAAAAAGTGAGCTCCTTATAGGTTAAGAGCTATGGGGTTATGACGCTTCACTGCTTCCAAGAAAAGCACCTTGTTTTTGTTTTTTTTTTAAAAGCAAGCAAATATACCATGCTGTATATTTACAATTTGAATGCAATTTATGGATTAATAACATCTATCCTGGATGTGGTGAGTTTTCTGCCATTGCCCATAGACGGTGATGGGCTTCCCTTGGTGTGTTTTTTTTTCCCCCCCTGAGTACTCATTGTTTTGCATCTTTGTCCTTTCAACTATAGGATTTAGACAAAAGTCAAGAAGAGATCAAAAAACATCACGCCAGCATCAGTGAGCTGAAGAAGAACTTCATGGAATCTGTACCAGAACCACGGCCTAGTGAGTGGGATAAACGCTTATCCACTCACTCCCCGTTCCGAACACTTAACATCAATGGCCAGATCCCCACAGGAGAAGGAGTGAGTACTCTGTCCACATGACCAACTGTGAGAATGAGTGAAATAAATGTTTTTGTATATTAATATTCTGTATCTGAGAGGAAGTTTAAAGCCAAAATTTAGCTTTGGTGCCTCACCAGTTCATTGCAGCTTTAAGGCATTGATCAAACACTTGTTTTTTTTAAGTCATAGGGACTACCCAGTCTAATTATGGGAGGCACTTAGAGCTACCCGTGGATGATTTAGGGTTTGAGAACTCTCTCTGCAGCTGCATGCTGCTAGCTGGGGTGTGTTTACAAATTGACCGTAAGCCAGTGGAACTTTATGTTCAAACTGTACCTTCAAGGACCAGAGAGTTTACTAAATTTAGTAAGGTCAAAATTGGAAAGGGACAAGCATTTTTTAAAAACTTTATTTGAACATTTGCACAACTTAGAAATGTCTGGAATGGTTGGCCACAATTATGTAATAAACCAAGGAGGCCCCTAAGCCAGAGAATGCAGAATACCACGTATTAATGATTGTATTCAATTTTAGGAAAACTATTGATTTAGTTTTATCTTCATGATAACATCAGACTTTTGATACGCTGTTCTAAAACATACCGTAGTCACTGTTAGAGGAAGCCAGAGATACCTTTCAGGGGCTGTTCTTTTTTTATTATTGTTGTCATTACCTATTGTAGAAACTCTACACCCAGCTAAATACATCTGTGTAATGAGAATATCTTAAAAGTTACCTTTAGCGTATATTCAGAAATTATTTACTTAATTTTTAGTCTGTCAGGTTAAATATTTATATAAATAGTCACAATGACTCAATGACTGATTATAATGATTTTTTAATTATATGCTCGTTTTTTACCCCAAAGCAATAGCAATTCTAGTTAAGAAAGGTAAAGTGATGTCTTAATAATTTAAAAACATTTGTTTTTCTATTCAGAATTTATGGTAAACTATCCAACTTATTGTTTAGTTTCTGGAACTGGAGAAGAAAATAAAAGTTGGTTCACAAAGGGTGCTTTTTATATTTTTCAAAATGTGATGAAAATTGGCTAACAATTCTCCAAGTAGAGTTGAAACAGTTTCACCCAGTAAAGGTGAAGAATTCCTGAATGATGGAAAGCTAAATAGAGTTACCAGGGATGATAGGACACAGTTTGTCATATTCACTGTTGTCTCAGCCTCTGTGCCTTTGTATGCATAGATGCTAGTTTTGTATTCTAAATCTAGAGAATGTCCCCTGAACTGAGAACAGTGACTTTTTCCTCATGGAGAAAATGCCTGTTGCTATCTCGCCTGGTAACTACATATTTTCTAGAAGTTTCCTTTTTGACTCTGTGCGAATAATAAAAGATGTTCAACTACTTTGAAAAAGTAACTTAGTATTCTCTTGGATGAGGTTTGGAAAATTTGAATCAGCCTCCATTTCCAGAAAATATTTTATGTCTTAAATAGAAACCCTTCAGAACTATCTCAGGGCTGGTTTTGCAAATGGCTGTGTCATTCTGTGGGTTTAAAGAAAATGACTCTTTAAAAATTAAATTAGATCAGTGGGGAAGAACTTAAGCAACTTTAGCTCTATGCTTGTGTATATGACCTCTCTAAATGAATAATGAAATAAATAAGGACTGTACTGTGATAACCTTTTATATAGGATAATTCCACTTTCTGGTGTATCTTACTTTTTCTTTAATAATTAGTACAATATTTCTGCTCTCTGGGGATATCTCTTCCACCTTTGACAGCATTGTTGTTGCATTGCAAAAAAAGCAACTGAATTTTATATAATTTGTGTATGACCAGGTGAAGAAAACCTCTGTCCTTCTCTCGGAAAGAAAGGTTGGTGGGCCAGAGGTAAAGCTGCTGTTATGACTTGTGCTTCTCAATCAGAATTTGCTCTTGTCATGGCATTAAGCAGATAATCCCCCCAGAATCGAACAGCAGCTGCTGAGTAATTTTTTGTTTTCTTTCGGCTATTCTGGTAAATTCACACTCACTGCCTTTTGACCTAACACATAACATTTCCACTGCTGCAGCTTTTGCAGCTTTCAATTTGCTTATTTCAGCGCATGGCTGGTTGAAAAGCTGCATGAAGATGTAAATATGTATTCAGAGAGAAAATTAATTTAATTGTACCCTATTCTTTTTATGTTGTCTTTCTTCTCCCCTTTATTTTCTTTTAAAAATCATTATAATTTTGCATCCTTTCTTTTCTTCTTTTCTTTTTTGCTGACCAGTCCCCCAGCTACTTTCTCCCTGATACATATCACTTAGGGGTGTGCAAAGAACCAGTGTCGCACTTCCACAGTGATCCAAGAAGGCTGGCTCAACTGAGAGAACTTAGAGCCAAGTTTTTCCTTTCATAGATAATGTGTCTTGACTGGATGGCAGAGTACAGAAATGGGGGGTGGGGGTGGGGACTTCACAATTGGACAATTGGAAAAAAGTAATTTTCCTTAAAAATCTCAAAAGTATTTGCTTAATGTGATGTATCAACCTTCATGATGGTTGTTATTATTTTTAATCATGATTCTGAGAGAGAGGGGAGGGGAGTTTGCAATTGTTAAGATTTGTGGTTTTGGGGTTTTATTTTGGGGGGTAGACCTTGGAGACACATATAAACTTTTATACTTTTTTTCTTTGCAATCTTTCAAATGTATAGGATTAAGATTTTTATTCCCCTGAGCAAAAGCTAACTGCCATATTGAATGAACTGTTACAGTTTTTAAAATCTATATGAAGAGATATGGGGATAACTTTTATATTCTGCCATTCTATTTGTAATAAAAGGAACTTTTCTGATGGGAAGAAGAATTTTTCATTATTGGCTTTGCCCAAATGAGAAAAATTGGCAGCACCAAAACAATGAAAAATGACCCAAAATTCATATGTGACTATCCTTGAAGGAAGAATAAATACTATAAGGAAATCCAGTGATTCCTTGAACTTTCAGGACTTGTAGTGTTCATTCATTCAAAAAATGATCTGTTGAGTACCCTACTGTGTTATAGAAACTTTGTCGGGATAAATTGCCAAAGTAAAGTGAAATAGTGTCCAAAAGATCTCCTTAAATCCTTTGCACATCCCCAAGTATCACTTTTGAGCATTTTTTCATCTGTCATTTTGTTCATCTTTCTCTGTCTTTCTTGATCTTCTACCATGAAAGCAGACACAGGAACGTGCTCTGTTAGTGCAGCATGAAGAGAAAAGTAAAAGGCAAGAGAGATCTGCTGAAAGAACCTTGCCCCAGCAAGAAAATGAAGAAATTCTTCCCAAGGTTTCTATTCCAATCCCCGAGGATCACAAGTCTTTCAAAAAGTGCCACCTCTACTCTAGTACTTTTCCATCTCCTCGTATTCCTTTCATGATGTCTTTTCTCGTGGTTCTTGCGTTGGCTGTTTGGTGGTTGGTCTTTCTGTGATCGAAAAACAGGGCGCTCGCCTGAAACGTCAAGACTAAAACCATTGAACTTTGGTCGTTGACTTCTACTGTGTTATCTCCTGTATGATGCTATCTGATCTTGATAGTCCGCTGTCCTAGGGGAGTTCTCATGATCATTTTTCTGTAAAAAAAATGTTACCCTTTGTAGAATATGTGTCATGGGTTACAGGGGAGTAGGAATGGATTGCCCAAGCCAGCTTTCTTCACTGAGGCTGAATAATTTTAGAGAAATCAGGTCTAAGCATACGGCAGGTCAGGACCTTCCCCCAAAAGCTTTACCCCTTATCCTGCATGTTCTCATTGTTGATTGTTGCTGTGTCCTCCTCTCCAGTGTTTCCCATGAAGCAGGATACTTGGTAGAAATATTTGATGGAATATTTTCCTTATCTTCTATAGTCATCTGTGTGGCATGGGCCCTGTAGTTTAAGAAAACAATTCAACTTGCTAACCTTTCAAAAGCCTTAAAATGATACATTTTAATCTATGAATCCAAAACCACTCCTGTTCTTGAGATATCAAACCAGTGTATACAAAGGCCTTTTTTTGGAAAAGGGCTTTTGACTTCTGTGGCCTTCTTACGTGTATTTCTGAGATGTACAGGGACAGAAATCTTTATCCTGCCTGGTGTAGAGAAGAGATCTGCAATGGTTACATGCCATCTTTTCACAAGTAGGATGTTGATGGTTTAAGGAAAATGGTGCTGGTGCCCCTTAGCCTCCAGCCAGGGCTGAATTTCCCAGACTACTCGACCCATCGTTACAAGTCCTGGAATACAGATTTATTAAAAATCTGGACATAAACATACCCTTCTCTGAATTAAAATACTGTGTTAACTTCTTTATGACTTAAGTAATTATACTGCTAGAAGCAATATTTAGCCATTATGGTAAGCTTAAAATATATATTGATATATTTTGTTTTCCTGATACACTTTAGACATGCTTATTTCTTAAATTTGTGTTGAAATCAATTGTTTTTCATTGATGACCTTGTGAGCTAAAGTTGTGTCGTGACAAGTATATGTCCTCTGTTTGCATGTTGATTTTTAAGGCTTTCCTGAAGTAAATATGAGCGTGTTCTCTCTTCACAACTCAGATGCCTTAATCGGTTGTTTTTTGCCTCGGTATTAATGAAACCTTGCATGTAGCTTGCTGTTTATGGCACTTGATTGTACCAATATGGATGACTTGGTTAATGTTGTCTCAAATATTTGTTTTGAAATCTGAGTTTCATGGGATTATCAAACTGAGATTATTGTACTTTGTTTTACTCCTCATGCCTTTTAGTTGATGAAACTTCTAAACAAGACTTTTTGTTTTTAAGATGATGGCTTTTTATATCAAAAAAGAGAGAGAGAGAGAGAGAGAACAGTAAAGCCAAGAATCTTCTGTCCTTCAACTTCCCCACTATTATTTTATTGTCTCTGTAGACATGTAGAAATAATTCCCAGGTATTCCTGAAAACTGCTGTTCTGTCATTATAGGCCTTCCCCACAAAATGGGAAAAGAAGCAAGGAGTGGGTTAAATTTAAAAATCTGGTATGAGTGTGTATCTTTCATGTCCCAGGCTATGTCTACTTACAACAAATATTTTGTAATTAAGCATATTTATTGATTCACTCACAATAAGAAACAAGAGACCTCAAGTCAACCTGAAATATCGCGAAGCTGTTCTCTAACACAGAAAGTGATGGTCATAAGTACTCCCCTTTATTTGTGAAATAGGGATGTAAGAGTTTTCCTTATGAAATAACAAAACTGGAGCATTTGGTTAGATTCTTGTTTCAAGGAGCTAAAAAGGAAATCTTAGAATTTTATTGATACTTTTATAACTGTTTCAGATTGTATTTCCAGTTTTCATCCCTGTACACAGCTGTTTATGAATTATTATTGTAAACTTCACCTTGACTTTTGTTTCCCTTTGTATTAGAGTTATTCCAAGTCTATTAAAAGTCTAGCGTAGTAAGCCAACAATACTTTGTAGTTTTCTGAAGTGGAGCAAGAGTCCTCAGAGATGCTTACTGATGGTCAGAGGAGAAGGGCCAAGCCTCTGTATTGGACTAAGCTGGCCAGTACAGACCCAAAAGATATACCCATCACAGTTATTAGAGGAATAACACTGGACATTACAGCCTTGTATTACCTGAAGTTAATCTGCCGATATTTGTAATCTAACGCTGTAAATAGTCTTTGTTTTCCTCTCACACCTCATTTCATTCTCAATACCATAGACAGATCCAAATAACTGTGTATTGGTTTTATGCTGGCTCAGTTTCTTAATGGCAGGTTGATAAGTAAAAAACAAAATGGACTAAAGTTGTTAATACAAACCAGTAAAAATTACTGAATTTTCGCCATGATTTTGCTATTAATCATTTCTAGAATGATTCTGAGAAGTTAATTTAACTACCTGGTGCCCAGATTTCTACCTAGTAACGTAGAGACAAGCCTACCTCATGAGAATGAATCTGTAGCTTATTCCAGGAACCAAAAACTCTGGTTATCATTCAATTCTTGAACTTTTGGGAAATGGGACTATTGGATGGAAACTAAAACACAAACACACATTAACTTCTTGGAATTTTTTATATTAAAGTAAGCAATTAAATAGCTGTGTTTATTTCCTCCTGCTCCATATTGGTATTTGAACCAGCACTTAAAATTATTAAAGTTAAAAAATGTCTTTCCAAATTCATTATACTCTTAAGCAATTCACCTTATCCATATGGTATATACTTACCAAATTTATTATACTCTTAAGCAATTCATCTTATACATATGGTATATACTTAGAGTGGAACATGCTTGAAAATAAAGCCAGCATCAATATTTTGAACCTATCTTTTAGCCATTTTCTTATGCTAATACTTGGTATAGGAAGGAGATTCAGTTTGCATGGGTCGGTTTTACTACTTGTTTACATCTTTGGTAAAAGTTTTGAAGGACAAAGATATTGACTCTGTTGACTAAGATTAACCTGGGATAATCTGTGGATTAGATTTCCAGTTGTCATTCTAAATCCTTGTATATGTCTTTCTATTACTCAGTTTTAGTCTGAAATTCCTGTGGATATAAGCCAATTCACTTTCTCCCACATTCCTAAGTCACTTCTATAATACTTCCTACAGATAAGCATGTAGGACAGACACACTGGGCAGTTGAGGTTTGGTTATTCTTTAGAAAGCATTACCAATCAAACTTTATATTTGGGTTTTACCCAGTGATCACATATTTTCAAAAGAAAGACAGAAAATTCAAAAATAATATGAGACACTTTCTCTTTCTTTTTTTTTCCCTAACAGTATTGGGTATAGTCAAGATATACAGAACTTCTCTACAGAGTTTCCTTCCCTTTTATTCTTCTTCATAGAAATTATAAAATCCCAAACTTTTTTCACAGCATTCTCAACCACA